GAAGCCCTGAGCTGCGGGGAGGGGAAAGGCGGGCGTGCAGGCAGGGAGCGCGGCAACGCAACGCGGGACGATGCTCAGCCGTCACCGAAACCACCATTTGGGTCCAAGACACGAGGGATGTGCCCAGCCAGAGCCGGGCAAGGCACGGGGGATTTACAGGGGATGCTGCTGTGCCCACCCCGGGGCACCCAGAGGATTCCTCCTCCTTGAGAGCAGGAGTCTGCTCTTCTTTCAGAAAAAATCCTAACGTGATCTTCAGTTTGGAACATGAAGCGCTAAAATTTTCTGCGCAACAGGATTTCCAAAAATACTTTGTCTCGGGGAAGCGACAGCCACGTTCCTTACTATTTTAGGGCAATATTTTCCTAGACTGAAACTGCAACAAAACGTGAGCAAAAATCAAGACAAAATCCTGCGGTTTTAGTGAAACAAAAATAAAGCCATTGCCTGGAAGTTCTGGTAGCATCGATGCATCCCTGGAACTGAGCGTCAGGATCTCCCAGGGAAGGGGCGATGGGACGAGGGGAGACAGCCTCAAGTTGTGCCAGGGCAGGGTGAGGTTGGGCATGGGGAACAATTCCTTCCCCTTGGGGCTGTCAGGGGCTGGAAGGGGCTGCCCAGGGAAGGGGTCGAGTCCCCAGCCCTGGGGGGATTTAACAGCCGGGCAGAGGCGGTGCTGAGGGCCAGGGTTTGGGGGTGGGATGGCAGGGGTAGGGGAACGCTTGGGCTGGGGGAGCTGAAAGGGCTTTGCCAACCCAATGATTCTGTGTCTCCATGATTTATCAGAGTAAAAATCCGTACCAGTTCCTGGGGTGGAAGCTGCAGCCCCCAGCCCCTGCTCACCTCTGATGTGGATGGGTAAGGCTCTCTCCACCGCCTCGGCAATGCTCCTGACGGCGCTGCTGTTGGAGGGGACGTACGCCAGCTCCCAGGGGTTGCTTTGGTGCCGGCGGTAGAAGAAGCCCGGCAGGTCATCCACGGGCTCCGGGGGGTAGACGGTGGCGTTGGGGTGGCTGATGGAGTGCACCCGGTGCCGCAGCGCTATCAGGATGGCAGCGAAGAGCAGCGGCAGGCAGATTTCGATGACCGTCACCAAGATCTGCCGTTTCTGCGGGAAACATTAAGATGAAAAAAAAGTAAGTAAACACCGAAGGCGTCTCAAATGCAGGAACAGGGGTCAGGGCATGCTAACACCACATAGCAGAAGTGTTCTTGCATTTCCCAAGGTTTCACAATCCGGGGTTTTCCACAGAGCCCGAGGAACAACGCTGCACCAGTTCCCACGTCCTTCAGGACTTTCCAGCCAAGGCGTCCCCTTCCCTAAGCACCGCTCCGTCTCAAACCACCCTCTCTGCCAGAGCCTTCCCCGGCGGACACGAGCGAGCCGAGCTGCTCGTTTGCCCATTCCCTGTGCCACGGGGCTCTGCCCAGGGGCCGGCAGCACTCGGGGCTCGCAGAACCACTCCTGCGAGGAGGCCCCGTGCTGTGGGACCGGCCGCGGCCCGGAGAGCGGAGCTGTCACCAAAGCAGAGCCACCTTGCCCAACGCTTACAGGGCTGGGAGCTAAAAGCGCTGTCATTAAAGGAGAGGCTGGGACGGGGAAGCAGCGGGGAGGTGAAGCACGGCAAAGCTAATGCAGTCAGAGAAGTTTTTTCTGCTGGAGCCCAGCATCCCGCTGGGACACGGGCTCTGCCCCCAGCCCGGGATGGGACCTGGCAGAGCCTCTGGCTGCAGCCCTGGGTGCCCTGGTGCAGCACGGAGAGCGTACCCCCCAGCTCAGCCTCCACCCCGGGGCCCGCCTGCACTGAACAGGGTGGCTCCTTTATTATTTTTAATTGAGCTTCAAGCAACCGGACAACGAACTCGAGTCCAGTGAACGCACTGGGGCAGCCAAGCCGGAGCGCGACCCTCCAGCCGTTTCCCCCAGGGCTACCAGTCCTGCAAACTTCCCGCTTGCTACCAGCCACCGACCCAGGCTAATTAGCATCCAACCCAGGTTAATTAGCATTTAAAACTCCGCTTGTCCCAGGGGAACTGGGGTCATTGCTGACCGGAGGGGCAGGGGAGCGGCGGTCCTGACCGGTGCCGCGCACGCCCGCGTCCCTGCGGCACAACCCGCCTGATGTGCTTTGCAGCAGGGGCCAGGACACGCTGCTGACCGATGGATTTACGCTCGTAAAATCGCTGCAGAGATCACGCTCGCTCGCACCAGTGAGCACCGGGCTGCTCCTGCGAAGCTGCATCACCCAGCTGGGGTGGGGATGGGCGAGGGAGCAGCACCCAGCACCCAGCCAGGTCCCGCCACGGGTAGGAGGGCTCAGCCCCGTCCCCAGC